TTTTTTTTGTTTAACCAGTATTATATCATACCTTTTACATTTATTTACCTACTGCGAATTTATAAATTGCGATGCGTTTATTCATTTCCACAGCATTTATAAGTCCTGTAATTGGCCTCGGCTGTCTGGACTTGAATAAACAAATAAATAAATAAATAGAAAATTTCTAAGGATTTTTTATAAAATTTCGGCGATTTCTCTGAAAATTTCATATAAGAACGGAAAAATTCTTGGGCTACTCAATAAAATTTCCAATGCCAGCACTGGAAATTTCCCTTGCTGTAGGCGCTCTGCGCCGTTTTTCCCGTGCTAGTACTAGAATTTTTCGAGAGAATTTCCGTGTATATGACGTAGTTCTACAAATGTCCGTTAATTTGCATCTCAAGTATAAACTGATGCCACTTGGAGAGAATTTTTTGATAAAAATTAACCAACCGTTCTGTGAAAGTCTATTGTGAGTCATCATTTCCTCATTTCCATCCCGAAATTTAATAAAACTTAATATATGATGATCAAATTTTATTCCACGTTAGAGAAATTTTATCCTGACGCATAGTATAGTTTACCCTTCCAATTCAATAATTTTTATGTGGATAACAATGAAAATTCTAGAACAGTTGGTAAATTTTACCCTACCGGCACGGTAATTTTTATTTTTATCAGGATAAAATTTCTCTAATGTAGAATAAAATTTGATCATCATATATTAATTTCTACTAAATTTCGGGATAGAAATGAGGAAACGATGACGCATGATACACTTGTATAGAACGGTAGGATAATTCTTATCAAAAATTTCTCTCCGTGCGCAATGAATGTAACGCAAGACGTACGGAACGCTTGCAATTGTCAAAAATAATCGAAAAACAGTTCAACGATTTTTTACGCATTGCGTAAGTAACTCCAACAGATACATATAGATGTTGTTTATTCAGAACGTCAAATTTGAAGGGGGAATTGGATCAAATATTTGGGGAGTCGATAAAATCAGAGTACAAGTGTGTGAAGAGGGATGATGGGAGGTCAGGATAGGTAAGATGAAAATGCATCATGTTTACGAAAGTGCTTAAGTCTGGTCTGTAGGTCGGAAAACCCCGGCAACGCAGTGTACACGAGAAAAAAGAATCTGATGAAATTTAGAATGTCGCAAGAGTTTTGAGTTTTGAGTTATTGAGTCCCATTTTTCAGTGAAAACGGGTACTAGTTGTCGCTGTTGTTATTCAAATTTATTTTTCATTTTTTTTCAAGCAACGAATTATTTAATTTTTTTTTCTGGATAAATCTTCAAATTAGCGCTATCTCTGGATGCCACTGAAATTAAATTCATCATCGATTACAGAGTTATTTACATTTTTCCATGATTAAATGTTCCAATGATCACTCAAAAATCACAACTGATAACGTTTTAATCGTGACTTAAAAAATGAACTCAATGGTATTCTGGTTTTATCAGCATACGATGGAAATCTCACCGTTCGTTGTAATTGAAAAATCAGTTTTTCGATGTTTACTGAAAAAAAAATCTGTAAAATCCATGAAGTTATGAATCTATCGAATTAAGAATTCTGCGATCCCGTGAATTAACCGAAAATGGGAACGCTTTCGGGGCATGCGTTAAAAACTGTTGAATGTTCAAGTACCCAGAACAAAATTTCTCATTAAAAATAAATATTAATGTTAAATTAATTTAAAAAAATCATGGTTTTTTTCGTTATTTCATGCATCCCTCACTCAACGCGATGGGAAGAATACCCTATTGATAAAAATGCAACTCGAATAATACATCATTCTTCCGATCCAATGAGAGTCCATTCTCATTTTTCAAGGCCCCCTGTTTTCTTCAACACTTCAGTACAATTATTCAATGCATCGAAAAATTTCCTCACCTTTTCCCTCCAATACTTTACAAAAGTGACTTCCTGGAATTTCCCAAAGTTGAAGTGTTTAATTACAAACTGATGCCACGAATTGTCACATGAACGGAAACGAAAAACACGTAGTCGTTCTAAAAACCCATCAAAATCTCATTAAAAAATATTAAAATCCCATCTACCATCGAAATGCTACGTCTAAGGTGTTCATTGTCACCGCTAATCACTCCCAAATGCTGATAGGCCCCGTAAACAGGCCTACATTCTTCAATGCCACGGTAAACGCCGCAAGACGGCCAAACAATACCCTAAAAACCCGTGCATATCTCAACTCGGATCGGCCCGGTGCTCGTAATTTCCCGTGATCATCATCGTACGAACGATAGCCGCAACTCGCGACCGCTATTCCCCGCTGGACATCCTCGCGATCGTACGTGCTCCCTACGAGAGTCTCCATTACCTATTACCGAATTTGAAATTCAAACTATTCAAATCCGTGAAGTTTTTATGGGCAATTTCCCACCCCCAAGAATCATTATTTCCAAAATAAAGTAAAGGCGATCATTTCTTCCTCGAAGGTCCCCCGGAAAGTTATATTTCATCACAAGTTCCCCCGTAAATTTCAAACTTTTTTCACTAAATCCATTTTAATTACCTCCCGGCGACGTATAATCGGATTTCCATTGTGACCCTCTATAAAGGGCAATCTTATTAAAAACTCTTTAATTATCGGAAGGGGGTGTGAAATATCGTGCAAATTCGATAGTGCATGAAAGTAGAACAACCGGACATTTAAAACCAACTCTCATCCCCTCAAAGTTGTAAAATTGAATTGAATTTATTCATCGTTTAGACCAACATGGTCTTGTACAATGGAGAGACAAGTTAATCAGCGTTGTAAGAGAGTGGAATTTAGTATGTATTCTACGTAAGTTCATTTTGAGGTTTATGTATTTATATTTGTCGATTTAGCTATCGAAATTCCTACATGTTTATTTTGTTCAAGTTCGTAATGCTCTTATCAGGCTTTTCCAAACTTTACTTAAGAAGAAATACAACGCGTGAATGTTTTCTCTGCCTTCATTTCGTCAATTGTTATTTCTGAATTTCCAGATTTATCAGCTAGGGCTTCTCTTGCGGCACTGAAAGTGCTAAGTTCGAAAAATCAATTTAATTCAATTTATTCGTCTTTTAAATCGCCGTAGCCTTGTAGAATTGATAGACGAATTAATTAGCGTTGTTACAGATGATAATTTACATAGTAATATTCGCCTTATTTAGTAACTCAAATTTGCAAATATTTATTTTAGTTCATATTTACTTTAGAAGAAATAGAGCGCGAGAATGTTTTCTATCCCTTCGTTCCATCAATTCTTATTTCTGAATATCCAAATTTATCAGCTAGGATTTCTCCTGCTTCACTGAATGTGCCGAGTTCTAAAAATCAATTTAATTCAATTTATTCATAGGGGAACACGTTTAAAAAACTTCGTCAAAAAATCTGTTTAAATCGACTTTGGGAGAGTAAACTTTTGGTGGATTCAACTTTTCTCAAATTGACCTTTTTTTTATTGATATGTAGTAACTCTTACCGGGTTATTTACAAAACGTTGTAAACAAATTTGTTACATTTTGAGATTAGTTGGCACTCAATTGTCTATAGTTACATTAGATTCTAATTTTGCATGTTTTTTTATGAATTCGTGGATTATTTTGAGAGGTTCCAGGTTCGTTGACGCCAGGAAAACGAAACTGGAACTTCATACAACAAAATAATCGAAAACTTTTCGATTATCTTGCCTTTTGTAAGAATATTACTAAAGTCTGTTTTGTATGGGATTCTAAAATGTTGTTATCTGTTTGGTTTTGGTTTCTTGTCAAAAGAATAATCGATATTTCTCATTTATTTCATTGAAGCGTTATTAATGCCCTATTCTAGTGTTTTTGCATTATTCTCCTGGAGTTTTTAACAGTTTTTTCAAGTTTTTCGAAGTTCAAGCTGTCCATGTTTTTTTTCTTCAAGTTTTATCAGCTCCCAAGTTTTTTTGATGATTTTTTTTTCAACGGAAGTTTTTTAAACATGAACACCCACCCATTCATCGTTTAGATCATCATAGCCTTGTAGAATTGAGAGTCGAATCAATTAGCGTTGTTACCTCATCAAACTTTTAATGAGTACTATTCCCCTTATTGATTAATCAAACATGTTTAGTTTTTTTCCCTCCATTCCGTCAATAGTTAACTATAATATCTACATCTATCACCTGGGCTTTCTCAATCACCGTTGAATGTGGTAAATTCGAAAAATCGATTCATCAGGATACAGTAATCCTCGAAGGGTACCTCCGTTGCCTAAAACCGAGAAAACAGGGAAACCCTCGAAGGTACTTAGCCACAGGCTGCGCCATCCCGCGGTAGTGGACAACACCGAGGGTTCGTAAAAAGTGAAAATAAAAAAAAAAGTGAGGAACTAGTGGGAGTGGGATCTCAGTGGTGGCCTCAATCACTGGCCAATACACGAGAAACGAATCTCAGAGCTCAGTGGAACTCGTTCGAAGAAAGATCGCTGGTTCGGCGACTTTTATTTTCATAAAAGGAGGTTATATTCAAAGTTGCCTGACAGGATCAGGGGGGAAAACGTGTGTTTGATCGCCTCTTGACATACCATAACGTGTGGGCTACGAATTGCTGATACAGAATGACGTGTTTGAAACTGATTATGAGGCGGAGAAACCAGGGAGGATGATAATAAGTGGTATGTGATGATAAGTCACACTAAAGTGTAGCTAAACTCACATTAGCAAATGTTAATTTTTATTAATTCATCGATTTACATTTGTTTGTTTTACCACTGAAGAAGGGCATGTGCTGTGCGGTGAAGAGCAGTTATCAGTGCAGTGGTCCAATTGGCTCGGGCACTCTGCATTCGGGGAAATACTCCAGTGGACCTCGAAATTATGGGAATAACTCGTCGACCTTCCCCGAAGATATTTGGCCTCGTCTCTCCCAAACGTGTCTTTCTCCAAGTGCCTCACTCAGTGCTTTAATCGTTCACCCTTAAGTCCGCCCTTTTTTAAAAAATATCCACTTATACTTGTTCTCAGTAACTATTCACTCCCTTTTGAATTTTTTTTTTCAACGAAGAGTAAAAATAACAGAGACCGGTATTCGATTCTCCGGATATCCGTCTCTGACTCGGCTCATTCGTTATCGTCATGAACCACTTTTTGCATCTCCGCAGTCGTGTTCTGCAGAGCCTTATACTTGGCCTCGTCGTATTCACCTTTTACACGTGTTATCGGACAACCCTTGAAGATTATCGTCCTGTCACGGTGCCTGTCGATGTTGGTGAGTATTTGAAATGATGATTTTTGAAACTGAGAGAACAATTGGGGGTTTTTAGAGAGAAGAATTAGAATTGTGTTGAGAAATTACTGACAAGGCGCTAAATTACGTTTTTGCGAACTCATTGTCAGAAAAAAAATGAAATTTCATGAATTGTTGACTACAATTTTTCAGGACAGTGACAATGAATGCGATTTAGAGAAAAAAAATCATGAAATTTCAGGTTTCACTGAGAATTGAGTAAAATTTTGGAATTTTACTTAAAATTTAGTCAAATTCGTAACGATATCACTGGAATTTTACACAATTTCACTTGAATTTTATTTTAAAATTCCAGTGATATCGTTACAAATTTTTCTAAATTTCAAGTAAAATTCCAGTGAGTGAACTCACTGTTCGAAAAAAAATGAAATTTCATGGACAGTTGACTACAATTTTTCAGGACAGTGACACTGAATGCGATTTATAGAAAAAAAAATCATGAAATTTCAGGTTTTACTGAGAATTGAGTAAAATTTTGTCAAATTCGTAACGATATCACTGCAATTTTACACAATTTCACTTGAATTTTATTTTAAAATTCCAGTGATATCGTTACAAATTTTGCTAAATTTTAAGTAAAATTCCAGTGAGTGAACTCACTGTTCGCAAAAAAATGAAATTTCATGGGCAGTTGACTACTAAATTTCAGGACAGTGACACTGAATGCGATTTATAGAAGAAAAAATCATTAAATTTCAGGTTTCACTGAAAAATGAGTAAAATTTTGGAATTTTACTTAAAATTTAGTAAAATTCATAACGATATCACTGGATCTAATCAAATTTAGTAAAATTCCAGTAATATCATTCCGAATTTTCCTCAACAAAATGACATTTTTCTCTCAGTGCAGTTTCTTTCCCACTCCTCACACCAGTGCAATGAACTAATTTCCATACAATCACAGGTGAACCTGTAATCATAAAAATAGCCAGTCTCCCGAATACGAGTGATGCATTGCAGCAATCGCCAAAGAATACAACATCGGACCCACTCTTGACGAACGCGATAGCCCCCCACAATGCGACCTCATCAACGGGCCCCACATCCATATCAACATCTCAGGGTCCACAGTCTTCCGCAAGTACCTCGATCAACCTCTCCAGCAATGATCCAACTCTCCACACGCCAAATGCCACCGTCACCAAGCCGACAATTCACCAAAAGGACTCAGCTGGTGCCATATATCAACCTGGCCACGACGTGACAGCCTGGGAGAAGTGCCTTGACAAGGGTGAAGGCAAGACTTTGGTGATTGTGATAACATCAGCGCCATCGCACTCAGAAGCCAGAACAGCAATACGCCAAACCTGGGGTCACTATGGACAACGCAGAGATGTGAGTATAGTATTCATGCTTGGTAGAACAAAAGATCCCAAACTGGAGATTAGCCTCGATGAAGAGCAGAATTTATACCGTGATGTGATAAGAGGTAGATTCATAGACTCGTACTCAAATTTAACGCTCAAGACGATTTCAACGTTAGAGTGGGTCAACACATACTGCTCAGAAGCCAAGTTTCTTCTAAAAACTGATGACGATATGTTTATCAATATCCCTCGACTCCTATCGTTCATCGACAAACACAAGAACACTACGAATGCTATATTCGGCAGGTTGGCACACAACTGGAAGCCGATTAGAAATAAAAAGAGCAAATACTACGTCTCTCAGGCGCAATACAAACCTTTACAGTATCCTGACTTTACGACTGGACCGGCCTACCTCTTGCCGAGGAATGTTACCCGTGCATTGTATGAGACTGCACTGAGTCAAACTTATCTAAAACTAGAGGATGTCTTTACAACTGGTATTGTTGCTCAAAAACTCGGTATTGAACGAGTGCATGTCAATGAATTTTTGAATAAGAAAATTGCTTACAATGCTTGCAACGTACAACGTAGTATCAGTATACACATGGTGAAGTATGGAGAGCAATTTGATCTTTGGAAAAAATTGATGGACCGCAAAATCAAGTGCAAGAAGGAGTAGAAAAGTGTAATCCATCGAGTCTCTGTACTTGATGCATTTGCGTACTGATTATATTCAGTCCAGTGGAGCGAACAATTGTGGTCTCACTGGGCATCGACAATTGTCGAAGCACTTCTTTGTCACAATCTCTGTTAATGGATACGCATAGGAACACGTGTTTCCGATAAGTCCACATCAATTTGAGAATATAAATAATACCATACGTGCATACGTGTATCCATTAACAGCAGGGACATTAGATTAACGGGCAAGTGATATCGACGTACTTGAAAAAGTTATCAGTCATTGAGATAAGAATTTTTTAGCTAGGGGATATTGTCTGAATGAGCACTCTCTGTCACTGCTGGAGCGGATATTTTACTCAGCCACGTTTCCTTGTTTTACAAACACTCGAGCATACGAAGGAAGGAACAATGAGAATTTTTTTTTAATCCTTTTACAAACAATGGCATTTATTTATTTACACGTGTAGGCTAAGAATTTTTTGAAGACTATTTCAATTTCACGGAGTCACGTTACTTGGTGCATTCGACGAGGAACTGAATTTCGCTTAGTGGTGCCATATGTGTAATTCGAGCAGATTTCCATCAGATTATTCCATTCTCACGGAATCAGATATTCGTGGTATTTCCTCGAGTGCCATATTGAAGAGAACAAAAAAAATGAGAAAAACAGTGACATCAGTTTTTTACCTAGTTCCTCTGATTGAATTGCAAAATCAAATGGATAATTAAGATACGTAATGGAATTGAATCATGACAGAGTTAAAAACTACTGGAGAACCGCTGGGGTAAAAAGTGAAGAGGTAATGACTGGATGATTGTTCAGCTCATCGTGTCTGTTGGTTATTCATGCGCCTTTTTTTTGCCTCTATTGAGGAAAGGCAACGGAAAAAATACCATCGCCACCGCATCCTTGGCACGCTTCGTCCTTTGTTTTCCTTTTACTGAGTGAAATTAATTTGTTTGGGTTTGATAGCTGCATTTTTTTGATAGACCAAATTCACTCAAAACATGATATTTCACCATTTCCCCAAAATTTTATCAATTTTAATGGTTATGTAAATATTTTCCTGTATCTATATTGTACTTAATATTATCTATTAGCAGTATTGTGAATAATCATTAATCATTAACTGATTTTTTGCACAATTGTTCTCCCCTATTCTAGAGTGATATCACCATGGAAAACAATTGTGCAATAATCTCATTTATTTTCATTCCTGAAAATTGTTATTAATTAAGTCCTCAAGTTTGTACTTTTATTTTTGTATATTACGGTGAAGAAAACCAAGTCTCGTATTTTTAAGATAACACTAGTGTGAAATACATGAGTACATCCCAACTGTGACCAAATTATCGGTTCATCTCGTATCAAGGTTGCGAAAGAATCTCTGCAACCTTGTGCGAGTGAGAACATGGCCTTTGTAATATATTGTGTATCGAATGAGCAAGAACAATTTTAATTAAAGACCTCATGTTTACATAAACCAATTCTACATAATATTATTTCCCCCTGAAACCAAGTGGAACAGATTCATTGCATCAAAATAATAACTCGGTACCTTTCGCTATACTATTTACGTGTTGAAATGGACTATTAGTGCAGTTGAGTTGGCTTGAGAGTTTCTGCTGTCGGCAATTGAACGTTGTAATCGTCAAAATGAAGATTCTACTGTTTTCGTCGTTATGGAAGATGCGTCAGTTGTTGAAACACTGAATAACTCCTTTTTGTCTAGTCCAAATGCCTTGACGTTTGGGGGGGAATGAATTGCAGAGAGGTACAATTACATTTGATTTAAAACTGAATTAAAAGCATCAAAGCGACTTTCATTGTTTGAATTGTATCCCTCAGCGTCAAAGAGACAATTTAATTTATTATGCGTTGAGACATTACGAATAATGAAACATTTCAAGTGTCCTTTCTCCGGTATGCGGTTTCATTACAACAATTCAGGGTAACTGGTCATATTTATTTCATATCCACTTGGAACCATATGTTTATCGTGCGCAACACATATTCATGACTTTCGATGAAAGGAAGTTTTGATATTACGGTAATAGGAAGGCCGGGCTTTCACCGGAATTTTCTAATTTCATGCGGTGGCGTTACGAGTTCGATTGATAATTTCCGTGGATAGAGGCTTGGGTATTCTTAGCATCCACTGCACGGCTATTTTTGAAGAGTTGAATAGCACAACCTGAACTGTTGCCCTCATGCCATCATCGATTGCTATCGGAATTGTTTTCATGACTCATAAGGTTTAATTCCCCCTCCCCCCCATCGGAATATGTGTGAATCCGTGGGCCATGGGATTTGAGAGATTGCGGGAGGAATTCTCAGCATCTTGATGAACCGTTACCGAGATCCTGTTGAATGATTTTGGAAAGTCTTTACACGAACACTGGAAATGTCTTTTTAATCAAGCTGAACAAGTGGTTATCCGCGATTTTATTCTTGTTGTTTTCATTCTGCTACTGTAATTACGACAATTGTTGATAATGATCGGGTAAATTGTTCGTTGAAATTAATGAGTCATAATCCTGTATTTGCGATTGGTAGAAAAAAAAACGGAAAATGCTGCGGTGATGAGGGGAATAATTTTTTATTGGATAATTAATCGACCATCACTGAGGTATTTTATTATTTATTGCGATAGCAAACAAAATATCAGACTGCGAATACTCAACATTTTAGTTGAGAATTTATCGTTGAACTTTGAAAGACAAATTCTGGTTTGACCAGTTTATAATGAGTTTCTCTCATTCTCGAATTATAGAGCTCTATTACTGTGCAGAAAATTTTTTAGCTCTGTAAAGTTCAGGAACAAATGGACATTTATACGTCAGAATTTTTTCATTGAAATACACGCATTTTCCTTCAGTGGCCGCTGGTTTGAGGCATTTCCACAATTGCATAAGTTGGCAAGCTTTCCATTAATTTCGAAATGAGAATGTGGCGAAGATTTCGCTAATACCTAATTGCAGGAATCTACTTCATCGTTTTCACTTTTACTCATGATGATTCCTACGAAACTAAGTGTAGGTAATGGAGTAGTGGAAATACCCGATGGATGTCGTGTCAATGCTCATTATGGAAGCAGATTTTCGATTTCAACGAAATATTTGTGTACAAAAGGGGATGCGGCAAAATGACATTACATATCACAATTATTTTTCCCTTCCCTTTGGGTCGGAAAGTTGAAAATAGTAGATTGTAATCTTCAAGGATAGAGAAAAGTGACCAAAGTCGATCTTTCGATTAAGTGATCCTTTCAATCAGCGAGTTTATCACGATTTTCTTCCCGAAAATGTTTCAAATGCATATTCTTTGCAAAAACTATCATAATATGCAGTAAATTCTCGAAAAAAACAGCGCGCAAATGGCAGCGCATAGTTGGCTTTTTCTTCAAGGTTTACATATAAAATATTTTTGTTTTCGAAGCTGCTCACCACAATATTTGCCACGTCTCTCGCGAATTGCAAGTAAAACTTAAAGCGTTGAAGGAATTTTCAACTATTTAATTATTTTTAACTTTATTGCAAAAATGGACGGAAGCACGCTGATAGCAGTAGCTCAAGCCGTTTCATTTCCTGTTTTTTATGGTTCCCTCGGAAAGCTACAACGTTGAAGAATATTTTTCCCTCGTCTTCTTTTTAAAATCGTTGCACTCATGCCTTTTTGACAACGCAAAATTCGTGTCACGAAAGAACTGGTAGTTACGATTTTTTACCCCTACGATGAAGATCTTTTTAATTTTTTGGAGGAAAATGATCGGAATGTAAACAATATTATTTACGCCATTTATATTCCGATTCAGATTTACGTACTTCGAATATTCTGAAAATAACCAGTCACAAAAGTATTTTTTTGCAATTGTATTCGTGAAATAATTGTTGAAATCAAAATGTCTGTATGCACTGGATATACGACCTACTGATTCTAATCACTTCCATTCATTCCATTCTTCCTTCTATTATTTATAATTTTTTACGTATGGAGATATCGTGAAAGAAATAAATCCAAATTGACAACAAAAAATAATACACTTATACTTTTTTAACATTGTAAAAACGAAAAATGGGCGATTTCCGAATGCAAGCTCCAAATATATACAATTGAGAAAAATCAGCATTGACGAATATTGAGACAGAGTGAAGCAGAAAAATCAGAGAACATAACAATACATGGTAAGTGGTGATAATGCACGTAAAAATGTAGTGAAACGTGATGTTTCGAATTTATAGTTCGTAATAATCTTTCAATTGCTTTTTGTTTATTTTCCTGCAGAAAAAGGCATGTATTGTACAGTAAAGAGCAGTCATCAGTGCAGTGTATACATCAGTGAACGAAGAGAAAAACTTAGCTCTGTCGGAAAACTATGTTCCACGTAAAAATATTTGATGGAGTGGCTGTTCCATATTTACTTAAGGGAAAATAACCAACTTGATAGAAAAAAATTTACTATCTTTCATAAAAATTAAATTTTTGTCGTGATCATCAGAAATATCCCTAGAAGAATTCAAACTGTTGGCCGGAAAAATATAATCTATTGTACGACAAGCATTTGATCTGAGAGAACTCCACAGGTTTATACCATAGAAAGAATACATTGACGGGGAAAGAATATTTTTTTCCCAACAAAAAATTGTCCCCTCGAAATTATTTAGTTTTGCCAATAACACAGTATTCGGCAAGAAAATTGTAGTTTTCTCTTGAAATTATCATTTGTTCTATGGAAATTATAAATGCTTATTGGACAAAGATATACACTACTCAGTCAAATTCACTTGATAAAACCGGAGCCTCATATAATTCTCTGTAGAACGAATGTATTTACCCGAGAGACAAATGTCTCACGAGAACAATTACTACAACGGAAATTACCGTGTTTTGATGGAAACTTTCTTTTTTGTCCGCAAGTAAATTGATGCAACACGACAAAATATCCCTTCAGGGGAACATAATTTTTCGGCAGAACTAATTTTTTCTCTCATTGTGGACTTCAAAAATCATGAAAGTCACTCATCGCCTTTGCCGGAAGACAATATTTCACAATATTTATTTTCAGTCATTACCCGTTTACTTTTAACTCTCTGCCAGTGAAGAAAAGTAAGGTCAAAAACTGGTATGCGATTTTCCGGACATCCTTGAGTCGATTTATTTGTTATCGTCATGCGCCCCTTTTTGAGCCCTCGCCGTCACGATCTGCAGATCCTCATATTGTGCTTCTTCGCTCTCACCTTGTACTTGTATCTACGAATGAGTACGAATGATTCGTCTTCTGTCATCGCGCCTGGAGATGTCAGTATGTATAATGGAAAGAATTTGATGGACGATGAAAATATCGGTAGTTACTCAAAAATGAGAATTTTGTTGAATAAATTTTGTAACAAATCAAGTAATCACGGAGCGAATGTTTTAACCAATTTCTATATTTCGGTGCGAGTGCGGAAGGTATAGGAATTTTCTATAATTTGGCTATAATTTCTATTAATTTGGCCGGGTAAACTTTACCTTGCACTTTACCTCACTACACGGAGAGAAATTTTTAATGAAAATTATCCTACCATTCTATAAAAGTGTAGGGGAGGATGGGGCAAAACGGCCCCCCTTCAATCGTCAATATTTTCCGATTCAATAATCCGATTGGGATGAGTTAGAGCTCGTTTTGAAGAATGAAAAATTATCTTCAAAATGAAGTTGAAACTGGGAATTTTCACAATGTCATTCACAAGTTATTGACAATTGAAGGGCGGCCGTTTTGCCCCACCCTCCCCTACCATGAATCATCGTTTCCTCATTTCAATCCCGAAACTTAGTGAAAATTAATATATAATGATCAAATTTGATTCTACGTTAGAGAAATTTAATCCTGACGCATAATAAACTTTACCCTTCCAGTCCAATAATTTTTATGTAGATAACAACGAAAATTCTGGAACGGTTGGTAAATTTTACTACCGGCACAGTAATTTTTACTCTACCGGCACGGTAATTTTTATTTTTATCATCTTTTTATCATGTCTATTGCTTCCAAGGGTCGACGAATACTAATTCAACCCTTATTTTTCGTCGCCTGTTTTTCATCCCATGAATGCAAAACATAAGTTTACCCAACGTCATAAAAAATGTACCGTTATGTAAACGCAGGTGAATCGGCTTTCATCAGAGACGTCAATGATCCCAACATCAGGAACGCATCCCCCCAGTCTTCAAAGGCTGCACCATTGTCCTCCCTCTCGACCAACGCAACTGCTCCTCGGAATTCAGCCCCACCAACGGGATCAACATCCACATCACCACCTCAGGGTCTTCAGCCTCTTGAGAGACCCTTCAGCCTCTTCAGAGCCTCACCCACCACACCAGGCACTCAGCCAACCGTCACCAACGAGAATAACACAATACGTGCGATATATCAAGGTGGATATAATGTATCAGCCCAGGGGAAGTGCCCCAAACACGGCGAAGACATGGATTTGGTGATTGTGATCACGTCAAGACCGTCGCACACAGCAGCGAGAACTGCAATACGACAAACATGGGTTTCCCTTGAAGAACTTACAAACGTCAGTGCAGTATTCATGCTTGGTACGACAGAAGATCCTGAATTGGAGAAGCTTCTCCAGGACGAGCAGAAGTGGTACGGCGATTTGATAAGAGGTAGATTCCTAGACTCATACTCAAACCTAACGCTCAAGACAATCTCAACGTTAGAATGGGTCGACACATACTGCTCAAACGCCAAGTTTCTCCTGAAAACCGATGATGATATTTTCATCAACATACCTCGACTCTTGTCCTTCGTTGAAGAACACGAGGGACAGAGGAATGTTATATTTGGTAAATTGGCACACAAGTGGAAGCCGTTTAGAGATGAACAGAGCAAATACTACATCTCTTCGGCGCAGTACAAACCCGTGCTGTATCCTGACTTTATGACTGGACCGGCCTACCTCTTGTCGGGGGATGTTATCAATAAACTGTATGAGAGTGCGCTGAACCAAACTTTCTTTAACCTGGAGGATGTCTTTATTACTGGTATGGTTGCTCCCAAACTCAGGATCGATCTAGTGCATGTCAATGAATTTTGGAATGACAAAATCAGTTACACCTTTTGTAATGTGCAACGTGTCATCAGTATACATGACGTTGAACCTGAACATCAAGCCCTTCTTCAGAAAATGCTGGTAGATAGTAAGACCAAGTGCAAGTTCGGAAGGAGAAAATACAGTCGAACACTAAAGTTCGTGAACAGAATACATAAGATACAAGCTCAGGTTGTTCAGGAATTTTAGTGCTCCACTGTACATCCTATCGTGAAGATACATTCCATTGAGTGAAACCTGTCTTGTAAGCACATGACTACTTCCTGACTGTGACCAAATTATTGGTTCATGTTGCTGTAATCTTGTACGAGTGAGAACACATGGTATTTGCAACGTATTGTGTCTCGAATGTGCAGAAAGGATTTTAATTAAAGACCTGATGTTTACATAAACTAATTCTGTAGAATATTATTTCTCCTAAAACTAAGAGAAGCAAATTCATTGCTTCAAAGTTATAACTCAGTTTTTGCTATACTATTTACGTGTTGAAATGGACTATTAGTACAGTTGAGTTGGCCTGAGAGCAGCTGTCGTGGGCAATTGAATGGTGTAACCGTCAGAATGAAGATTTTACTCAAACTATGACAATTTAGTCGATGTTGTGAACTTATTTCTCCACTAGCCCTAGGAACATCTGGTTTGATTTATATCTATTGGAGATGAATATCACTATCGAAGATTTTACAAAAGCTTTGACGTTGGGGGATGCATTCCACAGAAATGAATTGAAAGCATCAAAGGGACTTTCATTGTTTGAATTGTATCCCTCAGCGTCAAAGAGACAATTTTATTTATCCTGCGTTGAGGCATTACGAATAATTAAACATTTCGAGTGTCCTCCGGCTTTTCGTACTGGCCTCTCGGGACCATATGCTTTTCGTGCGCAACACATATTCATGACTTTCGATGAAAGGAAGTTTTGATATTACGGTAATAGGAAGACCGGGCATTCACCGGAATTGTCTAATTTCATGCGGTGGCGTTACGAGTTCGATTGATAATTTCCGTGGATCGAGGCTTGGGTATTCTTGCATCCTCTTCACGGCTATTTTTCAAGAGTTGAATAGCACAATCTGAACTGTTGCCCTCACGCCATCATCGATTACTATCGGAATTGTTTTCACGACTTGTAAGGTTTAATCCTTCCCATCGGAATGTGTGTGAATCCATGGGCCATGGGATTTGAGAGATTGTGGGAGGAATTCTCAGCATCTTGATGAACCGTTACCATAATCCTGTTGAATGATTTTGGAAAGTCTTTACTCGAACACTGGAAATGTCTTTTTAATCAAGCTGAACAAGTGGTTTTCCGTGATTTTATTGTTGTCTTCATTCTGCTACTGTAATTGCGACAATTGTTGATGATGATCAGGTAAATCGCTCGCGGAAATTAATGAGTCATAATACTGCATTTGTCATTGGTAGAAAGAAGTGGGAAATGTGGCGCTGATTAAAGATCTTTAAGGGGAACGACTGTTCATTAGATAATTGATCGATCATCTCGGCGGTATTTTATTATTTATTGTAAAGCAAACACGATATCAGACTGCAAATGCTCAACATTTCGAGAATTTATGGCTGAACTTTGAATGATTCAAATTTTGGTTTGACCGGTTTATGATAAGTTTCGCTGATTTTTGGATCATTGATCTCTACCTTCAATAAAATCAATTTCGAAATGAGAATGTTACGAAGACTGACCATGTTCAATTACAGGAATGGAGTTTATCGACTTCATTCTTACTCATGACGATCTCTACGGAATCAGCTGTAGATAATAAATTGACATCCGATAGATGTCGGGTTATTGGTGATTTCACTTGGCGGATTCAATGGAAAACTATCGAATAATGAATATTTTTGAATATTTTAGCATTTGAATATTTTATCATTAGAAACAGTCAATTAATTGCGCTGATGTAAATTTTACTTTGTAGGAATGAATTAATTGTCTGGTATTTATAGACGAACATGAAAAACCAAGTACTTTGTTGATCTCCAGATCATTCGAGCAGCAAATCAATGCAACATTGGACTTTTCAACGACAAGATTTCCTGAAATTTCAGTGGAACTTGAAAAAAAAAATCTCCAGAATTTGGCACAGAAAATTCGGACGAAATTTTTTAACGATGTAGGCTATATTTTTCCATTATCTTTGCTGTTTAGCTTTTCTTACGTTACGACGAATGTGTGAATAGGCGAATGAGAAAGAACTGACTTTTATGCAAGTCCCTTAATACCATTGGCAATAAAATTGAAAACATGAAGAATTGGAATATAACCGATAAAATTTGGTGAAATTACATGAAACCTCTTTATCAGATCGAGTCACTTTAATCTTGACCCTGAGCCCTCGTTCTAGAGCAGCCATTAAATCCGACCCACTGGTATTCTAAATTTCCCTCTGAAAACATCTCCATTTTATTCCGCTCATATCTGAATAGGAAAACATTGCAACACAAAAATTAGTCAAGCGGAGAGCAAATATTTCCCCACAATTTCCCGATAAGAAGCTCCCAACAGCCCAAACAAACCGTCTCTTCTGCTGAGACAAAAAATACAAAATCACAGTCTCGCAAATGTATTCGACAAATGATCCCAGTCCGTAAAAAAGAATAATTGAAGGGGAAAAAATTGCTTCCTGCATGAATGTCAAAGAAAACCTGAGCATTTCCATCTCGAAAAATAGCATAAGTCAGGAATGCCATGTCCTTCAGTCGTATTAATATCATTTCTACACAAGTACCGAGCGGTGACTTGTCCGCAGTTTCTCATTTCCTCAGCCCAGTGGGAAGGAAATGAAAGGAAAAAAATGTGGGGAAACCAACGTAGGTCACCTCGCGGGTTGAGAAAAACGTGTTGGCTCTCCCTCACTCGTAGTATATAGAACGCGAACATCGATTACGTCTGAGGCTGCCACGTGGAGTCGGTGCAGCCGTTTGGGATTGGATAACAGCACTGCCGGGGCAGTTCAGGAACGTCCTTTACTAGAGCTGTGCCACTGACGTTAGAGAGGGGCGAGTTAAGCATATTCTGCAATAACTGAAATCAGATAATCGAAAATCTAAATACTTGAATACAAGGATTCCACAATTTCTCCAGCGGAGTTAAATTTTTTTGCTCAAATTTCACGTAATTTTGTCATCTGAAATTGAAAATATTATAGAGTAATTTACGTTTATACACATAATTACCGTTAAATTGTGAAGTTCTTAATTTTTAACATAAATCTTAAAATTTTAAATATGAAATTAACCATCAATTTGCACATTTAAATTTCGAAATATTCTATCAATCAATAATTTAGGAAGGAAGATTGACGATTATTTGGATAATCGAAAATCAACTACCTAAATTTAGAATTAGCTTGTTAACTAAAAAAGTACATTTCAATATTATCGGAAAATTTGGTTGATAAATTTTATATTTTAAATTTGTTAAATATAGTTAAACTTTGAACAATATAAGGAGATAATCCCTTTGTAATATTGTCAAAATCTAATATTAGTGTCCATCCCTGGAGAAATCAATGGAATCTGTAAAGTATATTATTTATCAATTATTCCATGAAAATTGACAGAAGTCAGAAAAATTTCGGTGAATGTATTCTTATTTTTTAAAATATTATTTATTGAATGTATTGAAACCCGTAACATGGGTTATTTACACTGTCGGTACGTTACATGTTTTTTTCCATGCATTTAAATTAGTAAATTACAGTTTTTTTAATATTTACATATTTCTTCTACGTATTTATCGTCAGTTCCATCTGCGAATTTTTTCGCGGCGTGAGCAGTTGGTTTTTGCTAATTTATTTAGTAGTTCTAATCGTTGCTGGTTGTACTTTGGACAATGCCACAGGACATGTTCGAAATCTTGAAATTCTGCTCCAAAAGAACAGCTTGAATCACTGATTATTCCAACTTTTTCTACGGAAGCGGGAAAGTGGTAATGATTGGCTCTAATCCGGTTAACAGTTACTATATCGCTTCTCTTAAGCTTACAAGTTTTATACCAGGGTTTTGGAGTGTCCCTGGAGTCGTGGTTGAAATCAGTAGTGAAGTGGTAAACCGGCACAAGTCAATTTTGACTATTGACCAGTTTTGAATGAATATCTCGGAATCTAAGAAAGATACCAAAATTTTTGTTATAACCTTTTTTGTAGACCCGATTGAGTGCCACAATAAATGTAATTACAAAAATTTCGCTATATCCCTTAGATTCGGAAGTATTCCTCAAAAACTCAACTGGGAGATGAGTCGACTTAACCCGTTTCACCACTTCGCTACTGAAATATTCCGATCCTTTTTTTTCTTTGCATTTGTTGCCTGGTCTACACTTCGTATTCTTAATTAATTGAAAATTCAGCCCAATTTGGAACTGAATATTGATGTTTTTATTGAAAATTTAACTTGAATAAATTATTTTCAACCGGAGAATTTTGTTTGCCATGTTAAACGAAATCGCTCGCCACGCAACGTTGCCAGAACCTCGCTAAACGCGCGGGGGCAGTGTAGAGTAAATCCGGCATCGTCAACGCCTAGATATCATGGCGGCAGATTCCCGCTGAGGTGACCAAGTCGCTTCGTTGCGTAGGGTGACCAGTCTGGGGTTGAAATTAAAATTAAAATTGCCTCTCGATCAGCTAAAAATCTCACACTTCAGACAACGCATTCTACATAAAAGTACTTTATCAGAGACTTGACAAGTTATCGAACGGACGGCGTTCCCTTGGAGACTAGGCCTAATGGACGGTCGGAAGAAGGTCGAAACGACACTCCGTAGGTCCCCTCCAGTATCAACGGTGAAGGACGCTCCTTACAGTCACTCCAAACACGAGAGTGGGGGATCTCGGCTACACGTGCGAGGTCCTCCACCTTTTCTGCTATACCTATGTATATCTCACCGCTATCTCCCACCACAATAGTTCAATTATTGTCGGCTCTTACCCGTATCATCTGGTTCTTTGGCTTTCCTCCATTCCTCATATTCAAACCCGAGCGCTCATTGTTTCCGCTCTCCATTGAGAAATATATTTCCTTGTGATCACACATAATTTTCAGGGTATTTTTGCTCTCTTTCAAGAGAAACATTTCCACTGCCGTGGTATTGAAATTAATTTGTTGAAAGGTAGAATGTTGTTATCAATTTGTCTCAATTAAAATAGTTTAATTCAATTCAAAATTGCAGTCATTCATGTAGGACGAGGCGAATGATGAATGGACTTTTGATATTTTCCATTAGACAAAATGGGCTTTTTTTATTTGGATGACCTTTATCTCGTAATTTGTTGAAAGGTAGAGTGTTGTTATCAATTTGTCTCAATTAAAATAGTTTAATTCAATTCAGCATTGCAGTGATTCATTTAGGACGAGGCGAATGATGAATTGA